ATTAAGATAAAAATTTAATAATTTTAATGACTTTAACAAATTTAATGGACTATAAATTTTTACGATTTATACTTATTAAATTACAAAATATAAATTGTTAAATCTCTAATTTGGTCCCTAAACTATTACACAAACCCTCTAATTTAGTTCATAAACTAAAAAAATCTTTGATTTGATCCCTCAATTGTTGTACGTATCCCCAATTTAGTCTCTAATATTTACTAATTTGCTCCAAATTAATCTTTCTATACAAAAAAAACTAACATGTCTATTACTTAACGACGAAAAACAATAACTTAATGACGAAAAACAATAACTTAAAGATCATATGTCACATTAATAACGAGACACATTAGGTGTTTTTTATATAGAAAAACCAACTTGAGATAAATTGGTAAACATTAGGGACCAAATTGAAGAGTTGTACAATAGTTCAGAGACCAAATCAAGGATTTTTTTAGTTTATGGATCAAATTGAAGATCTGTACAATAATTCAAGAACCAAATTAAAGATTTAACCAATATAAATTATTAAATAAAAAATTATTAATTTAATAATTATAATTATACAATTTAATATAGTGATTTAACAACACATTTTCCATAGGTACGTTCATCAAACTTTTTCAAATGGAATATGCCCATCATATTCATGTCAGTGTGGGCACTAGGCAAGTGGAGCTTCTACCTAGGTGGAACTAATAAAAGATGACCTTACCACTAAACCCCTTGGAAGACCTAATTAAAGTTGCATGCTTTTAGACACCTCATTAGGACATTAAGAATGCGCTAGTTGGTAAGTGGACCCTAATGTTTAATTAGGAGAGTAAAAGGGAGGTGGGCGAACATTAATATACTTCAAAAGTACCAATGATCTACTAATTTAAGTGAAAGTAATTCGATTTTTGTTAAACAAAGTTTTAAACTTAAATCTTATAAATAGAGAAACATACGCTACAAGGGTTTTTTTTCATATGAGATTGGATATTGCTCGATTTCAGATTAGTTGAAACTCAATATGATTATTGAATACTAAAAAATTAATACAAATATATATACTTCAAAACTAAAATGTTATTACGTGTATTATGTTTCAAAATCCATTTCTCTTCCCTTTACCCAACAAATACACCAAAAATAAATAAATAAATAAATAAATATATATATATATATATATATATGTATGTATGTATGTAATTGCCTCTTTCAAGGGTCGACTTCCACTGCCCTTTTCTCAGCCACATGTTGCATACTAATCAAAGATAACATCTCAACGCCAACGAATTAAAATGCCTAATTAATTATTTATATGAAGCACAAGCATTGCTACTAGTACTAATTTAAACTGCCTAACATGATCTGAGGACTCACATCGATGAATGTTAGGCAGTTTTATGATTAAGATAATAATCATGGGTTTTTTT